TCACACCTGCATTTCCGATCAGATTGACCTGAACCTGTCCTCCCTTCATGGTATTTCCACTCCATGCATTCAGATGTGCCATGATCCTCTTGACAAAACTCTGAAAAATCACAACATGACATGAACTCATCTTCACTGTCTGTCGTTTCAGATGCACAACATGACATGAACTCATCTTCACTGTCTGTCGTTTCATCGTCTGTTTCAACGTTTGTCTTAAACAAAACGTCTGTTTCAATGGTATTGGGCTCATGATCATCAAAAACATGCTGAAAAAGGCGACTGCTTCCAAAATGAAACATCCTACAAACATAGGAAAACGACTGCAACATGTCTGCACTCTTCATCTGAAGCTCCCGACGTTTGGCCTTGACCTTGGCAGAACCTCCTGACCTACCCTTGGTGACCTGCGCAACCTTTACGTGCAGTAGCTGCTATGTGCATTGGGAACACCAGCAGCTCAAAAGGCCCCACCACAAACTGGCACCCTGGCGCAAAGAGCACTGGAGGAATGGGAACGCACCCTGTGTGAAAACAAGGCGGTGGCAATTCTTGCACAGATGCAAGCCGGCCGGCCGGCCCTCATCCAGAAAGATGGCGGAGAAATGCTCATTGCCATTGTCCTTGACAGGCCACGGCGGAAGCGAAGGCACTAGTGGACGACCCTGCAGCTTTCACTCGCGAAATGACTAGAATCCTGATTGCAAAGCAAAGCCATCCACTTATCGCGCAAATGATTAAACCAGCAGGAAGTGGTGACTCACCCCCCGCAAATAGCACAGCCAGTGGCACCGGCAGCCACGAACACCCCAGCGCCAGTCAGCCCGTGCAGTTCCAGTAGTCTCATGCGGCCAACGTAGGGTACCCACGGTTGCCACACATAACAGGGAACCACTGTGCAGGTGTAGGTGCTGTCACCATGGGGTCCTCATGGTTGACTCCTGCTTTGTGAAGCTGACGAGGTGGCAAGCTTGCCTTTGCAACTGTGGTAAGGGAGGAAGGGGGAGGGGGCAATTGTAACAGGACGATGTCAAAGTGCATCAAGCCAGCCCGTGGCTGCTTTGGCTCAGCACAATCCAGTACCTTCATTGCTCGAATGCCGCCTGGCCATATGAGCACAGCGCAACCGAGTGAATTGACATGTCTGCCTCAAGAACTCCATAGTGACAATGAGGCACAGGATCTCCTCCTTTTGCAGGACTATGTTTGCAGACTGACGCACACCCTCAGAACACTGGAAGACACCCATGCCTCATTGCAACAAACTGAACTCCTTGCAGGCGTTATCAACGAGCAAGATTGCAGAGACATTCGCACAGCCTGCTGTTGCATAAGGAGTCTGCGCATTCGTGTAGAGGCCCGTGCCAATGTTACAGAACGTGAAGTTATAAGTCGACAGCTGCAGCTTCCTGAAAACCGTGGAAATTTGCGGAAAAACATGGCCAGCGTATAGCGTATAGTTGGTTCAATTCGATAAAAAAAACTATACCAAAAAAATCTTTCTTAGAATGTAAGCCGACCGGCCAAAATGGATCTCACGCCACAGCGCGGAGCGTTTAGTAGGGTACTAAACCGTCTGGCCCGCAACACCAAAATTGTGTTCTCGCCACAGCGCGGTGGGTTTAGTTGGGCTCTTTGTTTGCACGATTATTTTACAGATTCCATTTGTTTGCATGACGGGTGCAGCACTTGAGAACCCCGTAGGGCCATCTAAAAGGTTGAAGCGTGGCAGGCGCAGCGCTTGAGAACCCGGTACGGCCATCTTAAAAGTTGAAGCGCGGCAGGTGGAGCGCTTGAGAACTCCGTGCGGCCATCGTAAAGGTTGAAGCGCTGCAGGCGCAGCGCTTGAGAACCCAGTACGGCCATCTTTCCTTGCATGGCCCCCACAAGGGCCAACCACAAACTGAACCCCTGCGACCCCATTGTCAATGTTGAGGGTGTGTTGATGCTATTGCAACTAAGAATTTTATTTTTTTTTTTGGTCGGCGCCCTTTGCCTTTCGGCGGGTCACCACTTGAGGCTTATTCGCGGACCAGCGGGGAATCGAACCACCACCAGCAGTCTGTCAACTGAGCCGCGAGGACACCTATGCTATTGCAACTAAGAAGTGAATTCCAATTTGAGGATGTGACCTGAGGCAAAATTTCTTTTTGATGGCTATCAGTTCAAAAGGTGAAACTGCAACATTTAAGCTTCCGTCCAACATTGAAGATGGGGCGCGGGGATTTAAACATACGTCAAATCCTCAGCTTGGATTTGCAACCGCAAGTCTGGAGTCTGGAAGCGCAAACATCGACGATTCCCCTTTGCAGGAGGCACTCTTGGGAATGCCGATGTCGGGATTCTCCACAGGAACTGGAAATCTGAACACCACAAGCCGCTTTTGAAGCATCTATAAATCTCCGAGCGTCACACCGGCTTTCGGTGTGTGTAGATAGTCTAATCTTCCAGTGAAGAAAAAGGGGAGCTACAGCAATCATAGCTGAGAGTCAAAGATCGCGTTTATCTTTCGTCTTGGTGGAGGCTTCAGGTTGGGCTTGCCACTGTGATGGGCGCTGTCCTTCTGCTGCAAGAGCGCTGTTGATTTCCAACAGCATTGATGAGAAAGAGTTCACTACTGCAATTTTTTCAGCTTTGTTCCATGGACGGGGCAAGCAACGAAAGATAGCTTTGTTGGGTTCCTCTGCAAATGAGGGAAATCTTTCATCTGGGCCCCAATGAAGGAGATCTACCCACAGGGCAGTGTGTGCTTGGCACCATCGGCTTCCGCCTTTCCACTGCTCTATGTGGAGGCCTCAAATAAAAGTATCCAGCCGCGCTTCAACCTTTAAGATGGCCATACGGGGTTCTCAAGTGCTGCGCCTGTCACGCAAAAAATTGAATCTCTAAAATAATCGTGCAAACAAAGAGCCCAACTAAACCCACCGCGCTGTGGCGAGAACACAATTTTGGTGTTGCGGGCCAGACGGTTTAGTACCCTACTAAACGCTCCGCGCTGTGGCGTGAGATCCATTTTGGCCGGTCAGCTTACATTCTAAGTAAGATTTTTTTGTATAGTTTTTTTTATCGAATTGAACCAACTATACGCTATACGCTGGCCATGTTTTTCCGCAAATTTCCACGGTTTTCAGGGTATAGTAGGCCAAGTTCATCAACTATACGCTCCGCGCTGTGGGAAAACGCACATCCTAGCTTGGCAGCTGTTGGGCTGCTTTTAGCAACCGCTGGCGGCGCTTTGCTGCCGACTTCTGTTCTGTCTTGTTCTCCGCGATGGCCTCAAGAGGGCCAACATCAGAAAACAGTGACATGGAGAATGCCAACAAACCTGCTTCATCATGGCCCCTAAAGCAGGGCCCAAAAAAGTGGTCAAAACATGGCTGCGATAAAGGGACCTTGGCAGTAGCAACCGGACTTGGGACGCACAAAGAGAAAAAGGTATGAGTTGATATGCATGTTCAAGCTGCAGGGTCGCAAATCTGCTTGCACAACATGTGCGGGCAGCAGCGAAATTCTCCGATGGCTGACCCCATTTTTGGGTCCAAATATGGACCCCAAAATGAGGTCCAGAATTGGATCACATTTTCATTCCTTCTTTTAGGTCTTTGCTTGGGCCCCGTTTTGGGATCCAGATTTGGACCCAAAAGTGGGCTCAGCCATCGGAGAATTTTGCTGCTGCCCGCAGAGGTTTTGCAAGCAGATTTGCGACGCACTAGCATGAGCGTAAGTGTTAATACATGCTTTTTCTCTCTCTGCGTCCCACTTTGTTTCTTGTACAGTATTGCTGTCATTTTCACCTTAGATCTTGTTTCACCTTCCCGTTTCACCCTTTTTTCGTTTCTCACCACTCTCGTTGCGACCCGGCGTTGTCGGTGTTTGCTTCGAAGTGCCTGGGTGTAATGTCATGCCTGAACGGCTGCTCTTTGTGATCTCGGGGCTGGCTGGGGGGATCCCTGGTTTCCGCATGGAGCTTTGTTGCTTCCCTCACCAACCAACGTGGCCCTTTGGTCTGTTTTGTGTTTGTTCTGTTTTTGTTTCTTGTTCTGGGCCATTCTTAGTATGACACATAAGATGTCATCATGCATGTAATTCCCATTGCTGGTTGCGATCCCACTTCTCTCTGTCGTTTTTGTTTGGTTTTTGTTTTGGTTGTGTGTTTTTCCTGTTTTTGCTTTGTTGTTTTTGGTTTGCTTTCTTGTCTGTTCTCTTGCTGGGACAGTTTCTGGACTGCGTACTGGTCCACAACCGGCACTTTTGTAGCTCTCGACAATTTGACAGCCCTGCATGTAAACTACAATTCACCTGTTTGCCGCGATTGAATGTGTGTAACGACCTGGCGGAAGCCATGAAGGCGTTGGACGGAAAAAAAGCCGACTGGTACCCTTTGCTACTGGGCAAACTTGCTGAGTCGGTCGTCGTAATATCTGGTGCTCCCAATGTTGGCAAATCCAGCCTAGCAGTCCACCTGGCCAGGACCCTGGGTTTGACGCGTACAAAGACTACGAGCAAAAATTTCTGGCTGTTTGCGCGAAGCCAGAGGCCGTATTTTTCCCTCTGGGTGTATTGCACAGATTCGTTCTCGACAGTCTGTATCATCTATTACTTCAAGCGAAGAATTCGGCACAGGAGCAGTCATTCTCGAGGGTCACCGAATTTTTGCTTTTCCAGGTTATGCCGATTTGGCCACCACTGTTGTTTACCTGGCGGCTACGGACAAACTTTTGTTTGAGCGAGGAACAGAAGCAGGGTCAATCCGGAAGCACAAGCTTTTCCTGTCGAATGTACTGGACCAACTGCAAAGGCTCAACAAGATGATCATTCTGGTTGGTCTTGCCAGCGCTGACAGACTGCCGGTGGTGGTTCGAATCCCTGCTGGCCCACTCGGGAGTCTCAAGTGCGACCCGCCGAAAGGCAACGGGCGCCGACCACAAAAAAGATGATCACAGTATGCATTCCCAGCTGTTGCATCTTTTCACCTGATCAAGGCAGAGCTACTGCTACCATCAGTTCAAGGTTCGGATGTATGGAATTAAGCTGTCATCACCAGCGCACTCTTTCACCCATGCTTCAATGTTGCCACTTCCAGCACCGCGGCTTGGGAAGATACACGATGCTTGCCCCACACTAGGGCGCCCAGCTGGAATCTTTGGACACTCATCCCATTGCAAGGCTTTCAATGTATGCGACGATATGCAATTCTGCTGCTTGGTCACTCCAGTTCCTTCAAAAGCCCGCTGCCAATCTCGATGCGAAAGCACTGTCTCCACTGCAGTGGCCATCACATGTAGCCATGCTTCTCGGGAAACAACACCTTCAGCAGCTTCGCTCTTTGTCTGCGTCCACTGCCGCCGGATCTCACAGCGTAGGGTGCGAAAAATATATGCATCAAGCGGTTGAAGTGTACCGGTAGCACCAGCCGGCACCACTAGGACCTGCAACCCCAATGTTTTGGCCAATGACCTCACAGTAGAATGGAGGTGGCATGCAGCACAGTCGAAGAGGAGCGTCAAAGGCTTTTCAGGGCAGTAAGATTGCCAATTTTCATGTAGAAGACGCAAATAGGAACACATGAATGCAGCAGTATTCCATGCGGTGGCACCACGCCAAATTTTCAATCGATCCGTGATTGCCGGATCCAAGGACTTCATAAATTTGATGGGAAACTGGGTCTTGTTGGCAATGATAACCTGCGGCAAGATTGCGTTGAAACCGAAGTCTGTAGACACTGATGCTAAGAGCGTCATCCGGGACCTCTGGGTACTCAAAGATGCTCGCACTGCACCACGTACAGACCGCAAAACAGTCTCGGCACCCTTCCACGTGCACAGCCAAAGAACATTCATCCATGTTGACCAAAATATTGTCTGGCGGGATGCAGTTGGCCCACCGGTAAAAAGAATAGGCCTGGCTTGCAAGCTCCAAAACAAAAATTGCTTCAAAAGCAGGCCCCAAAAAAGGGGTGCCAAAAATGAACCCTAAAAAGGGGGCCACCCTATTTACCTGAGCCATGGGGACCTGAAATTGGGGTTCCAGAACTGCTTTCAAAATTGGGTATCAAACCGACCCAACCCGACCAAGTCCACGCCTTCTCCTGCAACACATGGATTGGCAAAGAAGCTGTGACAGGTAAGGTGCCTATGCGCCCGTTCCAAGCTTTCCGAAAACGTCTCAAATATGCCCGTTGGGATGGAGGGCCACCATAGAAAGGCAAACACAGGCGGTTCTCTACAGCCTCTGGAAGGCCGTCCGGAACAAAGAGCAAAGCCTGTCTTACTAACTGCTGCCTTGTGGGGGCCACTCCATACTCGACATTTTGAGACCTGACCCAATCATGAAGCAGGTATTGTATAATGAAATCACAAGCCCGGTACAGCTCCGATGCAGGTGGGTCTGTGCTCAACCGAGCCATCAACGCTGCCGAAGTAGCGGCAAACAAAGCATCGAAGGCATCCTTCGCCGACACGGCCACCTGCACAATCACCAGAGGAGCAGCGCGAGCGAGGTAGGTAGCCGCGGCGTCCAAAGCATGATGCGACGTCTTTGCTTGGCTCCAAAGGTAGACCAGGAGCGCCTGTCTCACGCATGAAGCAGAGAGGCCGCTCCATGAGCCTTGCGACTCATCCAGCTGTATTTCTCAAACTTCTCCTCACGGAGCGGATCCTGCGGCTCAAGCCCGCCAACTCAATTGAGCTCATGGCTGCACATACATGGCATCACATCTCAAAGTACTGCCCGCAGGTAGAATGCTATCATGTCAAGGTCACTTGCTGCCACTTTGAAAATTAGTTGTCAGTTCAAGACAGCAAGCTCTGGGGCCCCCATCCGTTAGTAAACTTTTTGGACTTGTGGAAATCAACGTTAACTTTGAAGCACTTGCTTGATGCGTTCGGTCAAAGCAGCGGTGCACACAGGAGCTGCGTTCTAGGTTCCCAAGTACAGCATGGGATGCTTTCTGGTTGCAACATAAAGCGTGGGCAAATCCAAGTGGAGGAAAAAAGAGGTATATATATATATATACAAACATTCTTTACGCAATTTTTTGCACACTGTATGCATTCCCAGCTGTTGCATCTTTTCACCTGATCAAGGCAGAGCTACTGCTACCATCAGTTCAAGGTTCGGATGTATGGAATTAAGCTGTCATCACCAGCGCACTCTTTCACCCATGCTTCAATGTTGCCACTTCCAGCACCGCGGCTTGGGAAGATACACGATGCTTGCCCCACACTAGGGCGCCCAGCTGGAATCTTTGGACACTCATCCCATTGCAAGGCTTTCAATGCATGCGACGATATGCAATTCTGCTGCTTGGTCACTCCAGTTCCTTCAAAAGCCCGCTGCCAATCTCGATGCGAAAGCACTGTCTCCACTGCAGTGGCCATCACACGTAGCCATGCTTCTCGGGAAACAACACCTTCAGCAGCTTCGCTCTTTGTCTGCGTCCACTGCCGCCGGCCGGATCTCACAGCGTAGGGTGCGAAAAATATATGCATCAAGCGGTTGAAGTGTACCGGTAGCACCAGCCGGCACCACTAGGACCTGCAACCCCAATGTTTTGGCCAATGACCTCACAGTAGAATGGAGGTGGCATGCAGCACAGTCGAAGAGGAGCGTCAAAGGCTTTTCAGGGCAATAAGATTGCCAATTTTCATGTAGAAGACGCAAATAGGAACACATGAATGCAGCAGTATTCCATGCGGTGGCACCACGCCAAATTTTCAATCGATCCGTGATTGCCGGATCCAAGAACTTCATAAATTTGATGGGAAACTGGGTCTTGTTGGCAATGATAACCTGCGGCAAGATTGCGTTGAAACCGAAGTCTGTAGACACTGATGCTAAGAGCGTCATCCGGGACCTCTGGGTACTCAAAGATGCTCGCACTGCACCACGTACAGACCGCAAAACAGTACCTCGGCACCCTTCCACGTGCACAGCCAAAGAACATTCATCCATGTTGACCAAAATATTGTCTGGCGGGATGCAGTTGGCCCACCGGTAAAAAGAATAGGCCTGGCTTGCAAGCTCCAAAACAAAAATTGCTTCAAAAGCAGGCCCCAAAAAAGGGGTGCCAAAAATGAACCCTAAAAAGGGGGCCACCCTATTTACCTGAGCCATGGGGACCTGAAATTGGGGTTCCAGAACTGCTTTCAAAATTGGGTACCAAACCGACCCAACCCGACCAAGTCCACGCCTTCTCCTGCAACACATGGATTGGCAAAGAAGCTGTGACAGGTAAGGTGCCTATGCGCCCGTTCCAAGCTTTCCGAAAACGTCTCAAATATGCCCGTTGGGATGGAGGGCCACCATAGAAAGGCAAACACAGGCGGTTCTCTACAGCCTCTGGAAGGCCGTCCGGAACAAAGAGCAAAGCCTGTCTTACTAACTGCTGCCTTGTGGGGGCCACTCCATACTCGACATTTTGAGACCTGACCCAATCATGAAGCAGGTATTGTATAATGAAATCACAAGCCCGGTACAGCTCCGATGCAGGTGGGTCTGTGCTCAACCGAGCCATCAACGCTGCCGAAGTAGCGGCAAACAAAGCATCGAAGGCATTCTTCGCCGACACGGCCACCTGCACAATCACCAGAGGAGCAGCGCGAGCGAGGTAGGTAGCCGCGGCGTCCAAAGCATGATGCGACGTCTTTGCTTGGCTCCAAAGGTAGACCAGGAGCGCCTGTCTCACGCATGAAGCAGAGAGGCCGCTCCATGAGCCTTGCGACTCATCCAGCTGTCTTCTCAAACTTCTCCTCACGGAGCGGATCCTGCGGCTCAAGCCCGCCAACTCAATTGAGCTCATGGCTGCACATACATGGCATCACATCTCAAAGTACTGCCCGCAGGTAGAATGCTATCATGTCAAGGTCACTTGCTGCCACTTTGAAAATTAGTTGTCAGTTCAAGACAGCAAGCTCTGGGGCCCCCATCCGTTAGTAAACTTTTTGGACTTGTGGAAATCAACGTTAACTTTGAAGCACTTGCTTGATGCGTTCGGTCAAAGCAGCGGTGCACACAGGAGCTGCGTTCTAGGTTCCCAAGTACAGCATGGGATGCTTTCTGGTTGCAACATAAAGCGTGGGCAAATCCAAGTGGAGGAAAAAAGAGGTGTATATATATATATACAAACATTCTTTACGCAATTTTTTGCACACTGTGGGGAGACATCGGCTTGGCCCGGAACATGTGCAAATTTCAACCCCAGAAACCTGGCCCCACCCAAACACCATGCGCGCCTCCGGTGCGCGAGCTTTGGGTGGCATGTTCGGCAACGCAAGAGCTACCCACACGGCCAAGCTATGCCCCAAAAACACTGGAGCAAAAACGCAAAAGTGTTGGGACAAAAAAGTTGTGCTGGAAGTGCTGGGGCAAAAAAGTCTACGCTGGACACGCAAGTCACACATTGGCACACTGCTTCCAAGAGATGTCAGCCTGCATGATTGCAGACATATAGAGATTGACGCATAGACAGATGGATCGGCAGCAGATAGACAAACAGGCAGACAGACAGACAGACAGGCAGGAATAGATGGGAAGGTGCCTTTGACCGCAGCAAGAAAACCTGGTTGGTTAGAGAACCCAGTTGGGACAGACACACACGGCTCACTGCGCTACGCTACTTTTGCGGGTCCAAAGCTGTCGAAGCGCTGCGACATCACAAGTTCTGTGAGAAGTTGGGCTATGGGTAACTCCTTCGGAGATTCTAAGTCACCTCATGCCACCAAAATCAAAAACGTCTTCTTCATCCTGCTCTGCACTCAAGGCCAATTCTTCCAACTCAGCCTTTCTTTTTGCTTCCTCCGCAAAAAACGGGAAAATCATTTGGACAAATCTCTTGCTCACCATGATATAGATGCAAGGGCAAACTTTGGACCCGGAAATATTGCGTAGTGTCTGCGTTTGGGGAGTCTAGTACTGTCCAGACATGGTCTACCCCTTTCTGTGCACATGAGCGGGGACCAAAACTAGGGGTCACAAAGGCGGTCATGAGCAAAAGTTTATCGATTTAGATCGTTCGCTATATCGATTTACATGCTTTTGGAGCATGACGAACGATGGCTCTTGATTTGGAGATCCATTTCCATTCATCTCCGCAGAATCCAAAATAGGTGGTCAGCAGTCTGCTGTCCACTGTTGGCTTCAAAGTGCAGAAGGAATTTCCCGCAGAACTCAGAACAACTTGGTTTTGCACTGTTGCATGCCTACCAGGTGGCTAAAGTAATGTAAAGTCATGTAAAGTCAACCCACCGCATGGGCACACCCATTCATGGTTGCTTCTCAAATACTGCGCCTGCCGCCTGCCACGTTCAAGCTGGCCATAGTTGCTTCTCAAATACTGCCCCTGCCACCTGCCACGTTCAAGATGGCCATAGTTGCTTCTCAAATACTGCCCCTGCCACCTGGCACGTTCAAGCTGCCCATAGTTGCTTCTCAAATACTGCCCCTGCCACCTGCCACCTTCAAGCTGGCCATAATTGTTTCTCAAATAGTGCGCCTTGCCAGTTGCAACGTTCAAGCTGCCCATAGTTACTTCTCAAATACTGCCCCTGCCAGTTGCCACGTTCAAGAGGGCCATAGTTGTTTCTCAAATACTGCCCCTGCCAGTTGCCACGTTCAAGATGGCCATAGTTGCTTCTCAAGTACTGCGCCTGCCAGTTGCCACGTTCAAGATGGCCATAGTTGCTTCTCAAGTACTGCGCCTGCCAGTTGCCACGTTCAAGATGGCCATAGTTGCTTCTCAAATACTGCCCCTGCCAGTTGCCACGTTCAAGATGGTCATAGTTGTTTCTCAAACACTGCCCGTGCCAGCTGCCACGTTCAAGATGGACATAGTTGTTTCATAAGTACTGCGCCTGCCCACAATTTTTACTCATAAGATGGCATTTTTTATCTTACATTGTTTGGGTTCGATTTTTTTGCCACAGACATTTTATAAGGTGCCATTTTTTTTGAACTGTTTTGCTCCGATTTTTTTGGCAACAGTCATTTTTATAAGGCGCATTTTTTATCCTACGCTGTTTGGTTCAGATTTCTTTGGCCACAGTCATTTTTATAAGGTGCCATTTTTTTCAACTGTTTGGCTCCGTTTTTTTGGCAACAGTCATTTTATAAATTGCATTGTCTTATCTTGCACTGTGGCTCAATTTTTTTTCGCCACAGTCATTTTTATAGGGTGCCATTTTTTTGTTTTCAACTGTCTGGTTCCGATTTTTTTGGTCACTGTCATTTTTATAAGGCGTTTTTTTTTTCCTACGCTGTTTGGTTCAGATTCTTTGGGCCACAGTCATTTTTGTAAGGTGCCATTTTTTGCAACTGTTTGGCTCCGTTTTTTTGGCAACAGTCATTTTATAGATTGCATTTTCTTACCTTGCACTGTGGCTCATTTTTTTCTCGCCACAGTAATTTTTATAGGGTGCCATTTTTTATCTTCAACTGTTTGGCTCCGATTTTTTTGGCCACTGTCATTTTTATATAAGGGGCATTTTTTACCTTACACTGTTTGGTTCAATTTGTTTTCGCCACTGTGGTTTTTATAAGGTGCCATATTTTTTTCAACTGTTTTGCTCCCATTTTTTGCCAGCAGTTTTTTTTATAAATTGCCATTTTTTATCTTACACTGTTAGGCTCTGATTTTTTTCGCCACAATCATTTCTATAAGGTGCCATTTTTTATCTTCAACTGTTGGCTCCGATTTTTTGGCCACGGTCATTTTTATAAGCCGCAGTTTTTGATCTTACACTGTTTGTCTCAGGTTTTTTTGGGCACAAACATTTTTGTAAGGTGCCATTTTTTGCAACTGTTTGGCTCCGGTTTTTTGGCAACAGTGATTCTTTAAATTGCATTTTTTTATCTTGCACTGTGTGGCTCATTTATTTTCGCCACTGTCATTTTTATAAGGTGCCATTTTTTATCTTCAACTGTTTGGCTCCGATTTTTTTGGTCACTGTCATTTTTATATAAGGCGCATTTTTTACCTTACACTGTTTGGTTCAATTTGTTTTCGCCACTGTGGTTTTTATAACGTGCCATATTTTTTTTCAACTGTTTTGCTCCCATTTTTTGCCAGCAGTTTTTTTATAAATTGCCATTTTTTTTCATCTTACACTGTTAGGCTCAGATTTTTTTCGCCACAGTCATTTCTATAAGGTGCCATTTTTTATCTTCAACTGTTTGGTTCCGATTTTTTGGCCACGGTCATTTTTATAAGGCGCAGTTTCTGATCTTACACTGTTTGTCTCAGATTTTTTTGGGCACAAACATTTATGTAGGGTGCTAAATTTTGTCTTCAACTGTTTGGTTCCCATTTTTTGGCCACTGTTGTTTTTATAAGGTGCATTTTTTTATCCTACGCTGTTTGGCTCAGATCGTTTTGGCGCCGCCCAAACTCAAGATGAGATAAGGTGCCTCTAAAATGCTGCGCGTGCCACTGCCTTCTCAAATACTCCGCGCCTGCCACTGCACAAATTTAAGTTTCCATAGATAGTTACCCGGGCGCGTCCTTACGCTACACAATGAAAAAAAATAAAGAATTGTATTCATTGTTTTGATTTACTATTTTCACAATTGTGTAGTGTAAGGGTTGCACCTACCGGATCTGCTTTAATGTGCAGTTACAAAAAAATTTGCCTCAAAAAAAAGGAGGCTAAAGTTGAATTCGCCAAAGTCTGGTACACTCTCTAAGGCATCTTGGAGTTAAAATTCGCCTCAATCGCGTCATTGTGGCCAAAGCCAAAAATGCACTTAGAAATATGGAATTCACGTGGCTAAAAACTTGCGCCGCCAGAAAATACAGTTTCTTCCGTGCGCATTTTTGGTCTCCAGGCACGGCATGTTCAAAATACACCTGTCCCAATGTGTATTTTTGGTGTTTTGACGTTGTGTATTTTTTGCATATGTTTGGTGCATTTGCGATGCGATTTTTGCTAAAAAATGTATTTTTTTACGCGTTTGGCACCTGTGTCTCGCCCAGGCGTATTTTTTTTACGCCTTGGGCACCTGCGTCTTGTGCAGGTGTATTTATTTTACGCGTGTGTGGAAATCGGACTTGCACGTGCTAGTTGTGTAAGTAGATTCCCTCCCTAAACCCTCCCAGGAAAAACACGGAAACCTACGTTCGCGTAAATTTTCCTACAAATTTAGTCCAAACTTCGCCAAGTATGTGTATTCATCTACTTAGCGTGAGGCTATCGCCACGGTATACATATAACCAATATACAGAAAAACACGCAATATATATATATATATACAACATGCAACTGCAGCAACTGACATCACAAGCACAGCAAATGTGGATGAGTTTCAAAAAAGTGTTCCAACCCCCTATTTGTTTGATCCACTCAAATGGTTTCGATAGAAGATAAATTCATCATGGACTAAAAATCTAAAACTGTACATCCAAAAGAGTTGACAGTTCTTGTGTATATGTCAACATCGTGGTGCTGTATCATACAGTGGGTTGTGCAAAGAACTCTAGAGATTAAAATGTGTTCTTTGTTCTCTGAAATGACAAGGCGGAAATAAGAACGTCATTTCCGCATTGTTTAGAACAGTCACTTCGAAGAGTTCGAGCATGACCGGAAACAAACCTTAGGTGAGTTTCTCCTTTGTTTGGTGCTTCAAACCAACATTGAAGAGAACCAGCGTGACATGAAGTCATGCGAAGTGCGTGCTGGGGAAACATTGTTGTGTGGAGCTTACTGGGACCGCTGGCGACTGAGCGTACTGAGTGATTGAGACGCGCCAACTCTGAGTTTTCTCACATGGCAAGTGGAGCTCTTAAAGCGACCACGTGTTTAACACGTT